AAAAGGCAACATCCGTTCATTCAACACATGTTTGTGAGAGCTTATTATGGGTCGTTCACTTCACTAGGCATTTGGGCTATAAAAATGAGCAAAAGTAGATAAAAATGCTGCCCTCTTAGAGCCTGCATTCCAGCCTGCATGTCCAGAAAACAGTCAATATATGATACTCACAATAAGTAGGGTAAATGTTTCAGCATTTTAAAAAGTGATTAGTGCTATGGAAAAAAACAAAACAAAACCAGTAATCATAGTAGAACTTTGGAAGTGACAGAGTGGGAAGTCAGAAGACTTGCAATTTAGCAGTAGCCTAGTCTAGAAGGACCTGCCTGAGAGAGTGACAGACGCATGCACAAAGACCTCAAGAAGCCCTGTGTGATCCCTGCACCTTCCTTCTCTAACCTCCCCTCCTACACAGCTCCAGTTGTCAGGCTGAACTCTTCACTCTGCCCCACAAGCTTTTGCCTTTGTGCAGGCTGTGCCTCCTGCCTGGAGAACCGAGAATGAGGCAAAATGTCCTCAGTGCGCTGAGGTCACTAAAACAATAAACGAGCTGCTATAGGAGATGAGAGACTGGGTAGTTGCTTTTGGTTGATGTTATCAGAGAAGGTCTTCGGGAAAGTTATCTTTCAAAAGTGCTTTTCAAATTTACTCACTTGCTGTCTTCTCTTTTATCTGCATATATAGTGAGTTCATTTTTACCTCCCATTCCCATGCTCTTGGAGGCAGTAGAATTTGGGAATTGGACTCACTTGGTCTCGGATTCCAACTCTTCCACTTATTAAACACACAACTTGGGTGAGCTGGATTTTTGGGAGCCCCAGTTTTCTCCTCTGTAAAAATGAAGATAAGTCTTCTTTGAAACCTGTTGGAAGAAAAGTAACATACGAGGTCTGTCAAGTGATAATGAGAGAGGACACCAGTCATGAAAGGGAAATGAATCAGAGAATGAAGGACAGTTTTTTAAACTGGGCGAAGGAGAGTGTATCTTATTTTACAGGTAATGGAGAACCCTTAAATTGTTTTGCACCGAGAAGTGTCATATCTGTATGTTTGTTTTAGAAAGATAACATTAGCAGCAAGTGGAGGGCAGGTTTTTGGAACTGACGATCAAGAGCAAGTAAGGTGGCCTGATGTGAGATGCGATCCATTCAGGGAAGCCTGGTAGCGTTTGAAGAGGTGGACTTGATAACTGGCAATTAAAATATGTATTCTAAACTTTATATCTTTACGTTTAGTCAATTCTCATCATATAGACAAAATAATCATTTTCATCAATGTTTTGACCCAATTTCATAGAATTTGGCTTTCAGTCATTCTTGGATTTATTGTTTGAGGGATGTATATAATTTGAGAACCAGCTGCTAGAGCTACCAGCAATAGGAAAGAGGGTGAAAAAGAAATCAGCTGATAAACAGGAGTCAGAGAGACTGGGAAAAGAAACTTAAGTAAACTTTTTTTTTTTTTTTTTTGGTGGCCCAACAGGCATCACTTTAAAAAGCATTTGTCAGCTGTTGACTTTGAAAAATAATTACATTGCCTAGTGTGGAGCTTGTAGATAGCCAGGATAGATAAGGGAATTATGGTTTCCTTTAACTAGTTTCATGGCCAGACTAACCTGCTTGCATAGCAAAGAGCAGATGGAAAGAGTGTGGAAGGGTAAACCAGCATAAATCCATCATCCCTGATAGAAAAGCTTCAGCATGGGTGAATGTTCAGTTTTGCCTAGTTGAGAAGCACCAGCTTTTAATTTTTTTTTTTTATTATTTTTGAGTAGGCAATACATTTATATAGTTTAAAATTCAGGCACCCAGTTCCCCTCCTCTGATAGCAATTTCTTACTTACCCTTGCAGAGATAGTTGATGTACATACAAGCAAAAGATATTCTTTGCCCCCTCTTAATACAAATGCATATTAAACATACTGCTTTGTATCTTAAGATTTTTTAAATTATCACCACGTGTTTGTTGTTTAACTTAATATATTTTGGAGATCGTTCTATATCAATACATAAAGAGTTTCCCCTTCTTAAATATGGGTGCTTAGTATACCATTATATGAAAGTACCATAATTTTTATAACTGACCCTCTCCCTATTAGTGGACTTTTAGATTGCTTCTAATCTTTTATTTCATGCAGTGAATAACCCTGTACATATATCAATAAGTATATTTATTTTACCCATAAGGTTAGCACCTAATGTGGAGTTGCTGAGTCAATGTGTATGTGACCTTGTATTTTTGACAAGTATCAGCAAATTGTTCTCTATAGAAGTTGTACTAATTTGCATTCTCACAAGTAGACTATAAAGAACACTGTCTCTGACAGGAGAGCAGAAGAGTACATCATTAATTCCTACGTAGCTGAAGTTCACAATTTCTTACTTCAACTCACAGGTCTTCATTCTAAGGATGTTCTTTATTATCAACGGGGAATATGCTCACATGCTCCATCCGTGGTTCTCACCTGGTGAGTTTTGCCTCCCAGGAGCCCTCTGGCAATGTCCGGAGACATGTTTGATTGTCACAAATGGGAGGGCGGTGGTGCTGGCACCTTGTGCGTAGAGGCCAGAGACGCGGAGAAACACAGTGCACAGGACAGCCCCCCCCCCGCCCCCGCCCTTTTCCCTCCGCACAAAGCCTGGTCCAAAATGTCAGTGGTGCAGGGGTAAGCAACTCTGACCTAGATAAACATCGACTTCCTCTCCATCACGTTAAATACATCTTTTCAACCTAAGGAATTCTTCACTCTCTCTAACCTAAGGTCTCTGCCAAATAAAATGATGTGCTTCCATAGTACATTTGTGTTTTGTTTGTTTGTTTCTGTTACAACATTTATATTGTATTGAAGTTAATGATTTGCAGGAACCTTGGGCTCCTCAAAAACATGAATATATCTTATTTACATGTGTATCCTGAATATCTGACCCAAAGAAGGCACTCGGCTTATTAAAAGAATGACTGGATTTAGCAGTACTTCCTAATTGTTTCAGTGTGACTTAAGAGATTATGGGTTTTTTTTTAAGATTTATTTATTTATTTATTTATTTGAGAGAGCGAGAATGAGAGAGAGAGAGTGAGTGAGAGTACATGAGAGGGGGAGGGTCAGAGGGAGAAGCAGGCTCCTCGCTGAGCAGGGAGCCCGTTGCGGGACTCGATCCCGGAGTCCGAGATCATGACCCGAGCGGAAGGCAGTCGCTTAACCAACTGAGCCACCCAGGCACCCGGGGATTGTGTTCTTTTTAATCAAAGACCATTCTTTTTTACTATTACTTGCTTCACCTTTCTCTTAATTTCAAACGTCCATTTTTCGTTAGACTACGAAAGGCAATTTTTTCTAGCCTACGAAAACATTGTACCAGGAAATGTCAGTTGAAGAAAAAGTGTTGGCCTTTCCCCTGATTTGAACTACTGTAGAGTTTATTACCCCAGCATTAGTCACTTAATTATATACTATCTTGCTCATTTATAACTTCTGACTGAATTTGTCTTGTCTCATCAAATGGATTGAAATCTTCCTTAAGGGCAAAAATCAAAACTTGCAAGTACCTCATGATGCCTAACAGTGTTTTACAGACTATAAAGCAGGAGAGTGACAGGTTGTTGATTCTTTTTTTTAATCACAACTCACAGACCAAACCCAAAGAAGATTCTGACCTCAGCAAAGAAACTGTTCATTCTCAAGAGCCCAGCACTCGGGTCCTCCTTACAAACACCAAAAAAAGCAGCTCTGCAGAAGGTCCAGACGCGAGGCCCCGAGGAATCTTGTCTACTTCACATTTTGCCTTCTCCCTGGTTTCCTTGTTCTTGAGGAACACGAGAGCCCCGACTGACCAGCTCCGGGCACAGCTTTTTCCATTTCTAGTTCCTTCACCGCAAGTACCTCCACCAGGCACGTTCTCATCGTTCAACATGATTAAAGACCCAAGTGTGGGAGGAGAGACTCCTGGCCCCTGTCTGACGGGAGCTAAAAGTAGAAATCACTAGTAAGCCTTCAGCCCACAGCTGGGTAACAAGGGTCTCCGCTTAGGTTCCCACTGGGCACACACTGGAGCTGCCTTTGCCAGAGGGAAAGCAGGTGGAGTGGAGGCCTGGTTTTAATGAGATCGCCATGGTGTGTGTGTTGGGGGGGCGAAGGGGGGGGGAGTGCCGCAGCCAAGGAAAAAGGCAAGGTCAGGGAGGAACGAAGCAAGGACAAGAATACTTGTTTGTAAGGCTGAGTGGCGCTAAATATATCCTGAGAAAATTGGGATTCAGGGCAGCTTTGATCATATCTCACACAGGATTTTAAAATGCAAATGCAGAGCTGCTTAGTTTATTGCTAATAGCGTGTTGCTTAACCATCAGTTAGCCACGAGATCCTGTTGCATTCTCTTTGCAATTAAAATAAGCTCGCAATTGAAGTCCTTCAAAGCTGAGTTGCAAAAGAAGAGGAAAACATTCAGAGTTGGATATCTATCAGGCAAACCAAGGAAATGAGAAGAGCCAGCTTGATTAAAGAAGGGAGACAATAACAAAACGAATATTTTAATCATTTTCCCCCAGAAGAGTTCAATTTTTTAAAAAAATATTATTTTAGGCATTTTTAAACAGCAACTTTGATATTTAGCTATGAGTTATCGCCACATGTAGGAAAATGGAGCTATTTAAGGGGTTAATTTTTCAAGGTTACTAAGACCCGAGTCTTGATTTTGCTAAGAACCCAAAACTTCATGTCTTACACATGATCTAAAAAGAAAAACCTCATTATTGGGTTAATTTTTGAATTAGCTAAAAGTTTCCTCTTCCAATGATAGTCTTTAGACAGGGGCTTGGGAGAATATAAAAAGTAAACATTTTGGCTGGACCATTTAAAACACTCTTTATAAAATATATTGCACAGTACCTGCCTTCTTAGGTAAATGATGCCAAAATAATAATTTTTTAAAATATTAATAATTCATGATATGTATCTGTTATCTTCCCAAAACTATGCTATTTAACTTATTTCCTTTAAATGCTATAACAGTAATGCGAGGCAGGTAAATTGAGTTTTGTGAAACCTTTTCCTTAGAAAAAAGGCTATTAATGGACAGTCTGGGGGAGGTTTCCAGGCATGAACCCCCTAAAATTATCTGCAAACTTGTGTCTGTGCGCTCACCTCTGTGTTTCTAGAGAAGCGGTCCCTAATTTTCATCAGCTTCTCAGAAAAGTCTGTGGCCCTTAAAATGTCCAAATTATTTATGTTCGTTTGAATTAGTAAGGGGGTTTTGAAGCGGGAGATTGAGGTTCATGTCTCATGTAGTCCACGAATGAATCTCACGGACAAAGGAGAGTGAGTAAAGCAATAGAGTTTTATTGAGCAAGGATACAGAAAAAGCTCTCAGGGGTGAAAGTGATGTAGTTTTGACTGTAGGTGAAGTTTGATGGGGTGAGTTCTGGAGCCGACGACCTAGAAAGAATTCTTGAGACGTCTTTGGTGCAGAAAGGTGGTTTTATGAAAGCACGGGAACAGGACCCGTGGGCAGAAAGAGCTGCTGCACGGGGGTTGGGAGAGGTGGCCAATTATATGCTTGGCAGTTGAGGAGGTTTTCAAAAGAACTTTCATATGCTAAGGAGGACCTACAAGATCCTGGAGGCCTTGCCACTGTCAAGTTAGGGTTGTTTTTCCCTCTAGCAAAGCGTATTAACCTTAAGACCACCGGGAGCTTCTGCCTGTCTCAAGTATATGTCAATGGACTGCAGATTATAAGGACATTTAATTTTATCTACATTTCCTTCTGGAAGGTAGGTCATTGATAAGAATGCTTTTTTCTTGTGAATCACTAAGACATTTGTAAACTGAGGGAGACTCCTGTTTTGCAGGACTGTAATCTCTAGAAGTTAACCATTTGTTTTTCCTAACCTTAGCTTTAGGGCAGCCCGGAGGGCCTGAGGAATGTCACAAAGATCCCACCTGGGGGCGGGTTGCAAGGTCTCAGCTCGTGCTTTGCCCTCAGCTTGCCTTCCGCTTCTTCATCAGCTTCAAGGCTATGTTTCTTGAGTTTTTCTATTGTTTTCCCTTGTCTGATGATGCTTTCCCCCGGGCTCATGGCGCTTGCCTCCATGAAAAGTGCCCGATTTCCCCCCTAGTGTGGACTCTGGAGTCGGAGGGTCTGGATTTAAATCTGGTTTCTCACACTTCGCGCATGTTGGTCTTGGCTCAGTTTCCCAGACCTGCAAAGTGGAACTCCTAGCAGGTCCATCCTCAGAGAGTTATTCTGAGGATCAAACACGTTCACCTACAGAACAGTGTCTGGAATACAGAAAGGAAATCAGTAAGCGCCTGCTGAGCCCTGTGATTCTGTCTGTTGTGAATTTAAAAGCTGCCCATTCTGGTTTTGTGTTTGAAAAAGGCGGGGGATAGATTTGGGGTCTTCATGCTTCTTCCTAAAGCCCTCTTTTACTTCTTGGGTTTCATTCGGCCCTGCTTACAATGGAATTCAGTAAAATAATAATAAGCTGTGCGTTTGTTTTTCTAGAATGGCGTTGAACAAAAGAAGCGAATAGGGACAGGGATGCAGTTTGTTTTTCTGCACCTGGATTACAGGGACCATTAGGGTTGAACGTCTACCTGTTGCCGTGAGCACTAGCAAAGCTGCCTTCTCTCTTGAGCCATTCTGATTTGCTTTAGACGCAGGTCGAAGGGAGGAACCAGTGTTTCAGCGAGTATCTTTGAAGTGCATTTGAGGCAGCTGTTAGTGTGAAGGTAGGAATTTTTAAAGAAAGAATGAGCTGCTTTTCCTAGCTTGTGGGTGTTTCTTGGGATTGAATCACCTCTCCTTAAAACTGCACTGGTAGGATCTGCTGGGCTCAGAATGCAAATATCTAGGCGAAGATTCTCGATAAAAGGGAGAAAAATAATCAGGTTGAATAGGATGCCAGATGACATTTTTTTTCCTTTATCCTTTTCTGAAGGTTTAATAGTCTCTTACCTCTTGCCTCCCTGTTCTTCAGGGGTCTTTGCCTATACTTGAAGGCTGAAAGTTGTCTGGAGACAGAGGTGGCACCGAGGTCCCTGTAACACTTGCCTAAAATGTCACTGAAGAGATGCGATGACATCCTGAAGTCCTTGTTCTCGCAATGCGGCGGTTCTGAAGTAGGCAAGGGTAATTGCTGCCCACGGGATTATCGCGGGGACCTGCAGCCTATCAGCATCCTGCTGGTCCGAGACTGCCAGGCTCTCTCCATTCTCTCTGTCTAATGCTCTTTCCACCAGAACAGTTTTGGAGCAGAGCACAAAGGGCTGAGATTCCCTGCTGCTTGTCTTATTAAGCGTGTGTGTCTGTTATGAAAATAGGCAGCATGGCCCAGTAGTGGCACCCACTGTTTTCAGGACGAATGGTGGCCGTGGCAGCCTTCAACCAGGTGGGCTGTTCATAAAGTGGCCAGTTAGGAATGTCATTGTAGTCTGTGTTCATGCCATCCAGGCTGCCCCTGAGTTGTAAACCTCTTGCAAAAAAGTCTCTCTCTCCTCTGGATATTATATATATATATATATTCCCCCCCCCCTTCTTTCCATTTTCTTTCCAGAGTTACAGATTATAAGGAAGCGGCACAGAAGGAGCCCAGGCATTTGCATGCATTAAAATTCAGTTCAATAGAAATTCTAGGTCTTGGGGCGCCTGGGTGGCTCAGATGGTTGGGCGTCTGCCTTCGGCTCAGGTCATGATCTCAGGGTTCTGAGATCGAGTCCCGCATCGGGCTCCCTGCTCAGCGGGGAGCCTGCTTCTCCCTTTCCCTCTGCCTCTCCCCCTGCTCGTGCGCTCTCTCTCTCTCTCAAATGAATAAATAAAATCTTTAAAAAAAAAAAAGAAATTATAGGTCTTCAGCCTTGAGTAGGTTACTTAACTTCGGGCCTCAGTTTCCTTCCCTGTAATAGGTGGAATGTGCACCTTGCAGGCTTGCTGCATGCTGCGACAAGGCCTTAAATCCTTGCTCATGATTTTAAGGGCAGAAGGACCAAAGGGACATACTGTTAAGAGTCTAGTACCCATCAAACTTCAAGGCAGATTCAGAGGTGCTGTTAGCCCCTGTGCGGTTGATGGCCAATTCAGAAAGAATTAATTTTGCTACAGAGAGGCTCATAAGAAAATTCATATTCATCATTGCAAATGACAAAGATGACAAGGACTCCCCCTTGGACTGACTTTAATCAGTCTCCTCTGAGCCCTCTTCTTTTTTTTTTTTTTTTTAAGATTTTATTTATTTATTTGAGAGAGAGCACGCACTAGAGAGAGAGTGAGCAAGCATGAGTGGGGGGCAGAGGGAGAAGGAGAAACTGAGCAGGGAACCCGACGATGTGATGCTGGATCCCAGGACCCCGAGATTATGACCTGAGCCAAAGGCAGACGCTTAACCAACTGAGACACCCAGGTGCCTCTCTGAGTCTTCTTCTTGACTAGGCCTAGGTCTTGGGCTTCCGTGCCTGTTCTTGCAAAGTCCAGTTTTAGCAAGAATCCTGCTAAGCCAGTTTAGAGAGAATCTTCCTACCCTTAATATCTGATATCCTCAATAACAGATCAAATTTCTCACCTTCCCACTATCCCCTAGTTGACAGCTGATCATCTGGCCTGCATTCAGCAAGAATCCCCCTGCCTTTGATGTCTCCTCTTAGTAATTTTGCATCCACTGACATGCTCCTTAGTTATAAATTCCCACTTATTCTTGCAATTGTATTTGGAGTTGAACTTGATCTTTCTCTCCTTATGCAATAGTCTTGACACCTATCCCAGTAATCCTGAATAAAATCTTCCTTACCATTTTCACAAATGTCAGAATAATTTTTTCGTTAACACAGATCAAAGCCTAAATATCGAGGTTTTCAAAAGAAGCTAATGCTCATAAGGTGTATAATATGTGCCAAGATGCTGTTTATTCTAAATGCTAAGTCTATTCTGTGGGGTGCCTGGGTGGCTCAGTCCGTTAAGCGCCTGCCTTTGGCTCAGGTCACGATCCCAGGGTCCTGGGATCGAGTCCTGTGTCAGGCTCCTTGCTCAGTGGGGAGTCTGCTTCTCCCTCTGCCTCTGCCCCTCCCCCCAGCTTATGCTCTCCTCTCTCTCTCTCTCAAATAAATAAATAAAATCTTTTAAAAATAAATAAATCTATTCCTCACAACATCCCAGTGAGGCAGCACTATTATTATTACCCTCAATTTACAGATTAAAGGGATTCCCTGAGAGGTTAAGTTACTTGCCCGAACACACAGAGCTAGAGCTAGCTAGTAGAACTGATACTCTAATCCAGGAATTCTGGTTCCATGGTCCATGTTCTTAAACACAATGCCAACCTGCCCTCAGAGGACTAAAAATTAGGTTGGGAAGTCTACTCTGTCAGTGCACTTAGAGCAAAGTTCTCAAATGTAGCTGCCCTCACAAGCCCAGGTAAGTAATACTAACTAGGAAAGCAAGGTAGGTGGGGAAGTAATACTAACTAGGAAAGCAAGGTAGGTGGGGAACGCATCACCTGGAAAGTCCATGCTCATCAAGGTGGCCAGCCCTCATCATCACCACCTAGTGGTTGCTCTCTAGTACTGCATACCTTCTGAGTTGATTAACAAAAAGAGAAATCTGGCTTTTTATGAACAATCTCTTCAACTTGAAAAAGAAAGGGGAAGGGGAAAGAGACTGGGGGGTGGGGAGAAAGGGAGGGAAGAGAAGGGGGAAACCACGCAGTGCACACACCCTGCCTCCCACCCTCTAGCACATGTGCATTTGCTCACTCTCTCTCCTCTCTCTCTCTCTCTCTCTCTCTCTCTCTCACACACACACACACACACACACACACACCTGCAGCAGGGATTCATTCAGCCTGTGGGCTACCTGTTTGTAATTTCATTTTTACAGGTTATTAAATCTTACCTTAGTGGGCTCAGCTTGGTGTTAAAAGATATATACTCCTTACTCTAAACCACCAAGTAATTACACTTTTAAATGTCCTATTTGTCTGACCTATTGGAGACTACAGATTTCTGCTTGTGATTGGAGAGAGGAGGTGAAAAGGGGGGAGGTGGGGCTTTTTCTGGGTGCATGAAGATGCTGTGACAATTACTTTAGCAGATTTGTTTGAGAGAAGTGTTGATTTCTTACCAACCCATAAATCAAGAGATTTCGAATTACAGGTATTAGCCAAGGAATCTGGTTTTTCTTTTTGATTCTTGAGTTAATGGATAATTATACCTCTATTAACAAATAAACAAAAGAAAACACCCTTTTAAAGTTAAACTAGTATAAGCAGCTACTGTCTGTGGAAAATGGAAGTCAGTGCAGTGAATTCTGAGAGTTTTCTGAAATCCATCATCTTTTTCTCAGTTTCCAACTTCCGTTGCTGAACTTTGAGCTGTTTATGTTTCACAGTCGTCTTTGGCAAACCAGGTTTCTTGGCCCCCCTGCGATAGAACACGGGAGATGTTCCGTACTCCTGGCTTCTTGAAATCTTCCTGCTTTGGTAGCAGGTGTCCACTGTCCTTGCTTTTAATTGTCTAACACCGAATTACAGATAAAGTTTCATAAATAAGATACAACCATTTTCTTTCAAAAATAGCACTCTTTTAAATTGTGTTTTGGTTAATATTCCATGTCATGGGTTAAAATTTCCCATTATTTGGAAGTTTGGCAGGGCTATAATAATGGCCATTTTGGAGGGAAATGGGATCAATTAACACCTTTTTATGCACAAGACTTTGCACTGTCTCCTGTGGAGTGAACAGAAAAGAATCAATAAGCCTGTCCTCTTCCCTCCTGGAACTTGAAGTCCTTTTGGAGAAATAACGACATTCATACAAGTAACACAGGTACAAAAACAGTGCATAAGAAGGACCCAGATAACCAGATAACTGTAGCTGTATGATCTTAAAAAGAGAAAAAGCCTTTATGACTTGAAAGCTTTAGAGGCCTTTAGAAAGAAAATGAGATTTAAGTGGAGTCTTGGAGAATGGGTGGTAGGCTTTTTGAGGATGAGGAGGGCAGAGAGTGGGAGGAAAGGCATACTAAAGGCAGATGAGAAAGGAGGAGAGAAGATGGGTTTGGGGCCTAGCAAGTGATTGCAACAGAAAACTCCAATAAGGAAGAAATGGAATATAAACCTGAGGAAAGGGTTTGAGTGAGCAGAAAGCAGTCAAGACCAAGGATGGGAAAATATTTAACCGGTTAATTGCATAATGAAGTTACAAGGAAGAGCTGACTTGGAGGAGAAATTAAGTTGGATATACATTTTAAAATTCAGATATACTTTAAAAAACTCAGTCTTTCAGTACCTCCATCTCTCTTTTTGTGTGTTCAACTCATCACACTCCCTCCATTAAGACCTACTATGTCTCATTCTAAATATTTTTAGAATTTATATATTCATATACAAAAATGTGCGCACAAACACACACACACACAGTGTGTGTTTCAGGTCATTGTGTGTTTAGGTCAGTGTGTGTTTTAGTGTAGTATTTTAGGTCATTGTTTTACAAAATGAAAACATACATACTCTTTCCCTTACCTTGCCCTTCTTACTCAGCCATACCTGGGGCAAACCCCTCCCAAGTGAAAACTTACAGCCTAAATAGCTGTTTTCTTTTAATGGTCCCATAACACTCTACAGTAGAGTTATGTCGTGATCAGTTCCAGTATTCCCCATTCATGGAGAGCACTTGTTTCCAGTTTTTTGCCCCTACAAATAGTACTTCAATAAGCATACTTGTATCTCTGTCTAGATATGCTGGTATTTGATTTCTGTGGATAGATTTCGGATCACTGAGTCAAGGACATGTGTATTTTTCATTTTAAAAACTAAACTGCTTCCCTAAGAAAGCTGTACAGTACACAGTTTGCACCTACACTTAATAAAACTACTGCTTTTCACTAGGTCTCCCCAGGCCATAATGTTATAACTCTTTTTTTTATAAAAAGTTTTTGCAAGTGCTATTGATGTAAAGTAAAATCTCATTGTTACTTTATTTCCATTCCTTTGACTACAAATGAATTTGATCATCTTTCCATGAGCTTGCTGAGTGGGTTTCCTATCTTGCAAGCTGCATTTTTGTATTCTGTGTCCATTTTTCCAATGAACTATTTTGTCTCCCTGTAAATTTTTTTTTTTAAAGATTTTATTTATTTGACAGAGAGAGACACAGCGAGAGAAGGAACACAAGCAGGGGGGAGTGGGAGAGGGAGAAGCAGGCTTCCCGTCGAGCAGGGAGCCCGATGCGGGGCTCGATCCCAGGACCCTGGGATCATGACCTGAGCCGAAGGCAGACGCTTAACGACTGAGCCTCTGCTATATTATAGATATTTTTGCCTGTCCTCTAGGGTTTTAAACATTTGTTTTTCAAATCTTTCGTATTTGTTTATGGTATCTTTTGCCATACAGAACTCTTGGTTTTTGTTTTTTCGTTTTTTAAAAGATTTTATTTATTTATTTGACAGAGACAGCACAAGTAGGCAGAGAGGCAGGCAGAGGGAGAAGCAGGCTCCCCGCTGAGCAGAGAGCACAGAGAGCCCGACACGGGGCTCAATCCCAGGACCCTGGGATCATGACCTGAGCCGAAGGCAGACGCTTAACCCACTGAGCCACCCAGGTGCCCCCAGAACTCTTGGGTTTTATTCAATCACTTATGTTTATGGTTTTTCTTATAGTTTCTGTATTTTCTCCCTTGCCAAAAGAAGCCTACTCTCTCTGCCCCTAGATTATGTTTCCAAGATTTTCTTACAGGATTTTTATTTATTTAATTGTTTATTTTACATTTTAACTTTTAATCCATCTAAATCCGTCTCGGATTTATTTTTGGAGTTGGTGTAAGATAAAGATCTAGTTTTCTTTTCTTCCAGATGCATTACCAGTTTGCCAGCTCCTTATATTAAATAATCCATCATTTTGCCACTAAATTGAAATGCCTCTCTTGTCATATATTAAATCTTCATTTATATGTGGATCTATTTCTAGATACTCTATTTCACATATCTGTTCAGGCCTATTTCAATACTTACTGATTTGATTACAGTAGCTTTATAGGATTTTCTGGTAGCGGGTAAATCAAACTACACAAATGACTTTTGGATAGTTATCATGTGCTTAGGTAAATGCATTAAAAACCTATTTGCTAGACAGCAATGGGATGCAAGCAGATACTAATGCACCAAAATAATACTTGTACAATTAAAATATTTTTTCAAAATCTTTCTTCCGAAGATCTATTTTTATATCCACAGATATAGGAGAAAAAGGTTTAATGTGCTTGTAAGATCTTGTACAAATGACCGGTTGGTGTATTTCAGTCCTTAAATGCTGTATCATATTAATGATACCGTTTCCCTCATTTGCAGATTGATCCCTCAGAGGAATCATCCCTGACTGAGTCTTCACTCTGAGCTAAGACTGGTTCCCAGAGGGAGCACTGCTCCAGAGAGAGCTCTGAGGTTTTCCTGAAGAAAAATTCCATGGGGACTGTACCTGACCCTTTGAGATCGGCTAAAACTTCCTTGATCACAGCTTCTGGAAAAGAAGAGGATCTAGGAGAAGTGCAGCCTGCCTCAGCTCGGCCTCGACCAGCGCTCCTCTGTAAGAACACCAATGGCCTTTCTGGCCCTCCTGAAGAGCCAGTCCTCAGCCCCAGGGCAGCTGCTGAGGCCTTGATGCAGGCCTTCGAGCATGAGACCACCCAGCCGGACATGTCTTCTCCTGGTGTCGTCAACGAGGTGGAAAAAGCGTCTCCTCCGTGCAACTCTCCTGGCAATACCCAGCTGCCAGGAAGCAGCAAGCCCACAGCACCAGCTTCGTGTTCTGCAGCAGGAAAGGATGTTCTAGACGAAGCATTTACAATGCCAGCCAGTCAACACAGCCACCAGGCCATGCCGGGTGACCAGCTTAATGCCAGCCCCTCAGCAGGACCTGAGGATACACTGCTGAAAACACAGAGAACCTCAGATGGGGAGCAACCTGAAAAGTCAAGTTGTCCTGTGGGCAGCACCCGGGGCAACAGCAAAGCTCAAGTGCCCTGTGATTTTCCTTCCCAAGAAACAGCCCAGGGACTGGTGCAAGCTGGAAATACAGCAGCCAACGTGTTCAGCCACACCTCCCCTCCTATAGGCAGACCTGAAGGGGAGAGGCCAGGAGCCGTCCATGACTCCCAGACAAGGGCCTGTGAGTCTCCAGCGAGAGAAGACGGATGTTCTGGGCACAAACAGCCCTCGGCCACGACCTCGGGCGGCCGGGCCGTGACTTTGGTGACACCCCAGCCATCCCACCTCACTAGCCAAGGGTCCACATTTCCCCCAGATCTGGGAAAGGTGCCACTGCCCTCACAGCACCAGGTGTCAAGGTTCAAAGAAGCAAGTACGATGACCAGCCAAGCTGCAGGTGCGGTCCGGGAAGTTCCCAGCAGGGCTCGGCAAGATGCTGAGGTGCAGGCCGTGGCAAGTGTCGAGAGCAGGTCCGTCTCCACCAGCCCCAGCATCCTCACTGCCTTCTTAAAGGACGTCCCCGTTGCTGAGCGTGTGGAACCACAGGAGCAGCTGCGTGTCGTTTGCCATGGCGGCGGCCGTGGGAGCCACTCACTGGAGCTGTCTGACGACCTCCTAGCCCCGCAGGAGCCGGGCCAGTGTCCTGGCATCATGCCAGAGGTGCACATCCAGGCAGCTGCGGCTGTGTCCGCTGCTTGCCGAGGGGAGCGTAAATTGGTGAGCCTACCGGGTGAGGTCCTTCAAATCTCCTCTGTCACGGTGGCATCCGGTAAGGCTCAGGATGTGTGTAAGGAAGACGGGGGGTCAGCAGGCATGGCCCCGACAAGGGCGGAGCCCACCTCCAAACAGCTTTCGGGTGTGAATTCTAGCTCCAGGAAAGCCAGCCCTGCTGACCAGATTGCTAGCGGCGCAGGAAGTCAAACGGAAACAGATCATAAATTGGGGGAATCTGAAACCAAGCCATCTGAGTCTGCAGTGAAAACCACAGATGGTCCCCGAACAAACCCAGATTGCAAACTCTCTGACTCTTGTGGTCCTGCCAGCAAAGCCAACCAGTCTGGGAGCTCGGATCCCACTGATAAAGGAGACGCAAGAGAGCCTGCATCTCCGCACATAGTACACCAGCAAGAATGTCGGGGCACCGATAGCCTCGACCCCAGGGCAAGGGTAGAGGCCAAGTCCCTGCTGCTCAATCCTAAATCTCAAGAAAGTGCAGGCGCTGGATCAGCTGCCAGTCCTACGCCATCCCCAGTCAGGAAGAACCAGGAGGGAACCTGGGAAGAAAACAGACAGACCAAGACGGCCACCAGCCTGAGCCTGCCGTCTGACGCCATGGGCGACTCCAGTCCAGCTTCCGGCAAGAGGACCCCTTCTCGCTTGGTCAAAGCCAGCCCGCGCCGGGCCAGCCGCGTCAGCGAGTTCCTCAAGGAGCAGAAGCTGAACGTGACAGCGGCGGCCGCGCAGGTGGGACTCACCCCGGGAGAGAAGAAAAAGCAGCTCGGCGCCGACTCCAAGCTGCAGCTGAAACAGTCCAAGCGCGTCAGGGACGTCGTGTGGGATGAGCAGGGCATGACCTGGGAGGTGTACGGTGCCTCCCTGGACCCGGAGTCCCTGGGCATCGCCATCCAGAACCATCTACAAAGACAAATCAGGGAACACGAGAAATTAATCAAAGCTCAAAGCAGCCAGACCCGGAGATCCATTTCCTCAGATACTTCTTCAAATAAAAAGCTCAAAGGAAGGCAGCACAGGGTCTTGCAGTCCATGCTGCAGAACTTTCGACGCCCCAACTGCTGTGTTCGTCCTGCCCCTTCTTCTGTGTTAGACTGAAAGGGAATGTGTTTGGGGGCCCTCGTGTGCAGTCACGGTATTCCCGAGTGTCTGTGTATGTCAGAGCTTTCTTAGTGTTTTTCCCGAGAGACCAGGAAGAGAAAGCAAGTATTAACTCTAGGAAGTTGCCATGAAGCGTTGTTGGGTCCTTTGATTGGGGCTCCCTAAATAAAAATATTTCAATTCGAAAGAAAGGACAAGAGAAGAGAAGAAAGCTTCCCTGAAGGTTCATGACCTCGATTAAGAGGAAATAATATTCACTGGGTTTTTTGTATTGTGATGTTGCTTCTGGAACTAGCATTATCCATTAAACATGTGTCGTTTTGTATTACTGCCTCAATTTATCACACTGGTATTTCCATTAAAATCCCTGCTTAATATTAAAAATAGCAAAAACACTACTAGCAAAAACACTGCTAGACTTTCTAGTCGTATTACAATAAGAATGCCACGACCACACAAAATTTAAATAGATGATAAGAACTAAAATGTAAAAAATGTGAAGAAAATTTTGACTCACTCTTAGGCCAGATGACATTAAGTAAAAGCATGTAAATGCATTAAATACCAAACATGAATTAATATTTGTAAACATCCTGCAGATAGCTGTTTTTGTAAACCTTGTTATACTGTTAATAAATGTAAGAAAGTTATGTTAGGAAAATTAACCAAGCTTTTGAGTATGAATACTGCCCATATAAAACATGAATTTATATATACAGATTTCCCTGCACTGAAGGCAAGGGGCATCTCTATAATTCTGACTAGATTAAATTCATATTTCTTTAGAGGAAGTACGTCAACTGAATTCTTGGAAGGAGTCATCGAATTATTAATAATACTAAAGTGTGTGTTGTGCAGGTGTTCTCCAGAAACACTCTGCTGAGAGTGTTAAGGTTTCAGTAAGGAATTATAAATAGCCAATTTACCAAACACTCTCTTTTCTGTGTTGAAAAAAAGAAGTAAGGAAAAGCAACATATTTAATTTCGACTCCTGTAAACAGGATGCAGTTTCTATTTTTCTTTTGACTTGCTTGTTCAATAGTTACTTGTTCAGTAGCTTCTAATAGAAAATATAGTCAACACCAAATAGAACAGAAGCGTCCTCACAGTTTTTGTTATGTAGATGAATATCATCTAATTGCTAAGTTTCTCATCTGTAGTAAAAAGGCAACCTGTGCGAACTTACTGATTTTAAGAGAAATACCATCGTATCTCATCCTTCAAATCCGATAAAATAGGCCTTTACTAAAATGTGGTTTGAGCCTCGGGTGGGCTATAGTTTTTGAGAACATAGACACCTGTTTGAGCCCAGCCCGCACCTGTCTCCAGAGGAGGAGCGTGTCCTTCATACCCATGAGTGTCTTGCAGGGCACTGGGCTGGGATGACCAGCAGTGGCTTGAGAGCTAGGGGAGTGTGGAAGAGGGAAATGAGATAGGGCCCTGGAAAGGTTTCCCCTCCTAGATTCAGTGTAGGGAGATCACTGGTCTCCACCTTGCATTTAGAAAATCAGACTGTTCAACGTGGGAGAGGTGCTCGCTGGTTACCTTGTCTGAGCTTATTCCCCTTGATGAGCCAGAAAAGAGTGTCTGGCCATGCGTTCTCTCTGGAGACTCACAAATGCCATTTGTGCAGGAAGCTCACAATCTCTGTTTTGGCCTTTTTTTTTTAAATTCTCTTTTGCAGATTCTGCACATATAGGGAAAAATCGTACCTGAACTTTAACACCATATGCTAAACTGGGCACAACCCAAATTAGTATGTAGCCATTGGTTTCTTTCAAAGCAATTGGAGTGTGTGTGAAGACTGCCTAAATAGCCTCCAGTCACAGCACTCCCAGGGCCTAAGAATGGTCAAATTACGGTTGTTACACTTGGAGCTTTTAATGAATTTTTTTAATGAGGTGCCTTTATCCGTTTCTTACCAATTGGCCTCTTAAGAGCACTCCCTGAAGTTGAAATTGCCATCAAATGAGCAATCAAATTACTATGAATGGGGAGAGATTTCGTCTAAAACTCTCTCTTTTGGCCTTGAATACCCATTTGTAGGTGAGTTCGTGTGGCTTTTGTCGGAGACGCCTCCGCCAGGCTGTGATCTCACTCCTAACCCCTTCCTGCCTGCCTCCCTCCCTCACACGTTGCATGCATGCTGTGCATCCACAGAGAACCCCCTGCGTAGTCAGTAGCAGCTCTCAACAGTACCCGCTCCAGATGGGTGGGCCCCAGGTAATCCTGTGCTGGGAAGTGGCTGGAACAGGCTGTTCCTGCATTAAATTAGGAGAAAAAGAAGACTTTAGCATCTGGTAATATTTATTTTCATGAGTTTGGTGTAACCACGTGAATTATAAAGAGCTGAAGTTAAATTATAAATTTGTAATTCCAGATTTATAAATTATAAAATTTACAAATTATAAATAGTTCAAGTTAAAAATGAGGCAGAGGCCTAAGAGAGTGGTCGGCATTTGTCGCCCATGAAACAAATTAAGAAAATTGCATTGAATTACTTAAAACTAAATTTAGTGTTGCGGTTGTGTCTCTCAAAGTTAAGTCTTCCTGTTTGACGGAGAACTTTTTACTCGTTTGCTTTGGTACTGGAACTAGCCTTTCCTTCTTAAGCTTTCACTGTTTAACTCTTCACCTTTACTTCTCCCACACTCCAGAGATTGTCACAAAACAGTACAAAACCTGTCTTGTTTGGTTGTTTATTGACTCTTCAGGAAGGAACGGCTTTTCAAAACGGTAGTGAACTAGACCATCAAATGGCTAAATAAGGAGCCTATTGAAGACAAGCCATGCTTTTGCTTTATGATACCCTAAGTACCCACCGCATAAAATTTGAAGATTTTCCTTCCCTTCAGTCTGTGACACAGCATTGACATTCAGTACATCGGTCGTGACTCCTTAGCTTTATTCAACAAACGAAAGTGCAAAACAGTTTTCGTGGCAGATTCTTTGAGCTCGTTTGGCTCTACCTTCACTTACCTGTATGACACACACCAGTTTGAAAGTTGGTTTTGTCCTTAATTTCTTTTAGATGTTTTCCTCCTCCTAAATGCTTTTTAGCCATTGGAATATATGGAGGAAATATCTTATTGGGTAAATAAATATAAAATATTTCTTAAGCCAGTAGTATAAGAGAGATGGATTAGAACACAGTGTCTGGAAGATAATGAGACCTTTAAAATGTTAAGATGCTTTATGGCGTACCCAGTGAATACTAGAATTTAAATACTGATTTTTTTTTTTCCCTATTTTAATGACCACAAGAAAAATGTCATTGCTTCAGCTGTCATACTTTTATCTTCAGTGCTCTTTCTGGATTATTGGCTTTGATGCCACAGACCAACTGCTTTACATACAGTAAAACCCTCATTTATGTTTGTGTTTTGGACCAATGGCATAAGATGAACATCTTGTTAGGTCAAAGAAACCTTTTTGTTTGCATCCAAAAATGAAGTATTTATAAAATATAAATACTGGTATGTTTTCCTACCTTGACAAGTTCAGCTATATTGAATATAATTCGATTTTTGATGATTTCTTAATCTTTAGAATTGTCTGATAATTGTTATTTTGGATACCAGTATCCTTCACGTTATTGCTTACATATCAAAACTTAAATAAACTGTAGTGAATATGCATGTGTAACATATACACAAGAGGTTGAATTTTGGAACCAAATCCTTGATAGGAGCTTGCCATTTTAAAGTAGAAAACAGAAGAAGAAAATGACTTTTGGTTGCATCTGAGAGTATTAAGGTTTTATTGTTCCTAGCTTATTCCGATGTTATTCCTCTCATTTCTAGGAGTTCCCATCATTCTGGGAGTACCTGTATATACCACATGAAGAATATAATATAATGTGACTTTAAGATGTGTTTACAGAGGATATATATGAATATGCTGTTAATGTAAATTGTTTGGCCTTTGCTGTATCCACTCTGTTACTGCTTTGCTGCCAAAATGTGAGAAATTGTCTTCTATTCCTCCTACATATTGTGCAAGTGTTAAAAAATTTGTCCATTTCTAGTACCATGTAATTCACACATCCCTTGTCTACTTTTTAAGAATCAATATAAAGGAAAACAATATCTTAGGATAAGGTTTGCGTATATGTATATGTGTTTTTACTGAAAATTGGGCCCTTGCAGCCAGCCGTGTGAAGGCCTCAACCTGTCTGATTTACTCATCGTCTGCAATCGCCATGGAGATGATGCTGTTTACTCTCTCTTGCTTTGTCCTAAATGGTATTTGAGAAATGAGGCCTGTGAATTTCCCTTTGTGATAATAACACGGTGAACTCAGCAGTATCTTGGATAAATGAGCTGACCATCTTGTCCCCACCCCTGTTTTGTCTACACGGTGAACCAGAAGTCTTGTCCATGTCTGCTTCAGTGTTTGCTATTTTATATTGATATCTGAGCATTTTGTTTTCTGTTAGCAATGTTCTTTGATGCCATGTGTGGCCCTTTTGGTTGAATCTCTCCAAATGTGGGTCAGCTGCTGCCACCTGGCAAGTAACAGGTGATATGCTGAATCTCCTATCCATTCTTATAACTATATCCTTCTTCATGAAATTCTGAAACTGGCTGAGTAATTATAACTGTCATCTGTGCAGACACATGGGCTTAAGGATGTCTACAAAACTTTAGACATTTTTTGCAAAAGGGGAAAAAATAGTCTTGTAAATACTGAAACATTTCCATGAACTTTATTCTACTCTTGGGGGAAAAAAAAAATTCTCCTTGGCTACAGAAATCCGATGAACTTGATTTGTGATGACCAAGGACATAAATGAAGATGGATTGAGGTGGAAAAATTCTCTCACAAGTAATCAGTGACATCTGCCAGAGGTCATTACAGCTACTCTTAACTGTGAACATTCACCAGCTAAACTACTCACTTGCCACAACCAAATAACCTCTCTCAAAGTAAATCCAATACATCTGTATATACCTGTAGATAGAAACAACAAAAAATCCTGAAAAATTACTGTCGACTATCAGTTAAATCAAGGTGATGATAATTCTAAAGAACATTTAAATCACCATGGGCCTTGGTGAAATGACCTTGGAGGCCAGAATGGTGCAACAAGATGTTATTCACAAGTTCGGTATTTTTTTTAAGACCCAGATAATCTCAGATACTCATCATGAGAATAAAGACTGTTGAAAATGAAATTAACGCCAAGCAATAATGTGCCAAAAAGAGGCAGTTATACCAGCAAGTGCATCTATATGGGCACACCAGTCTATAATATGGTTTGCTCCATGAAGACTGACTGTAACCCACAAATAAGCAAAGGCATAATTTCTGCTTTCTTGCTAGGAAAGCTTATTTAGGAGCTCCATAAAGAGGTACAGCACTGGTGAGCATTAGCAGGGATATGGTTGACATCTCTGTCTTAATTCTAACCAAGACAAAACAAGGAGTCAAAAAGTCTTGCAAGCTTAGAATTCAAGACTGCTCCAACCCGAAACTTTTTTGAAATGGAGGGGTTAGACATAGAGTAATTACTATTTCTGGACACTTGCGTGTAGAAAAGTCAGTTAACTCTGCCCAGAGGATTACCAGCCTTAGCTATTAAAAAAAATGGTTTCCAAACGTAAAATAACTAAAACATGAGTACACGTTTCAAAAGGGGCCTCAAATAAAGCCTTACAGAAAATGATTTTCCAGATGGGCATTTCTAAGTACTAATCCTTCGAGTCTTTTTTTTCAGTTCAAGCTCAGAATCAATTGGCTGCAAAACAATAGGAATAAGTCACATATTTTACACTTCAGAAAAAGATTCTGATGACCAACCAGCATAGTGATAATTATGACGAGAAATGCCCTAGTGATTTAAGCGTGTTAAGGAGAAATAAATGGGGGAGAAATGCTAACTTCCTTATTGATCTCTTATGATGTGGAGACGTTATCCATTTATTTGCGGGGTGAAAATTATAGCTTGTTTTTTCACATTGCAGCTAGCATTACTCTCTGTTAATTTAAAAAATTAAAGTATCTATTCTTTAACAAAACTTTTAAGCAGAAAACAATTTTTTTCTGATTCATATCATTGCTTTAATAGCATGGAAAGACTATGTATAGAGCAAACTATGTTGAGTGGGTAGAAGGGACACACCCATGTTTATCGGGATCTCTTCATGATTTTAGTTGAGATTCCTTAGCATTTATTTTAGGACACATCTTTGAGTGAATTATTTTTCATAATGTTTTTCAATCACATCTTAAAACGATGTTGGTAAATCAGAAGATTGCAGTATTATAGTTAAGGCTCCTCCATCCCTAGAGGAGAGGAGAGACTAATTTTTGTTTTAAGGACATCTGGAGATAGCTTTTCCTGAGGCTGAGAAAGGTCAACAGGGCCTGAAAACTCAAGAAAGACATATACTAATAATTACTAAATTTCTAAATGTATTTATCTCTGCTGTACTAACGTGTGAACAATATGTTGTGCATAATACTGTAACTGGTTGTGGTGTGTCAATACATTTTGTAAGTGTGTACAGTCTGTGAGTGGTTGGTTTTCTCTTCTTATGTGTAGAAAAAAAATCACATGCTGTGTCCCATTTCAAAACCCAGTTCTGCCATCAGGTAGGCACATGTATAAAAATGAATAAAGCCAACGGAAGTGTGCATATGTATTCAGTAACAGAATTTGTCCTTTCATTTTTGAAGGTCAGAAAGGGCTGGTTTGTTTTGTTTTGTTTTTTAATCATCTCTGAGAGTCGATAACATAATTATCTAAAAGGCTGAATACGTTGGCAGTACACTGGCATGTTACTAAATATGCCAGGTTAATCATGCCATTCGTCATAGGTAAGGTCAATTCTTTGACCACCAGAATGATTTACATTCCTCACACATCCTCTCCGTGTTAAGTGTGTGACTAGGATGTACATACTATGGGTGTGATTGTGTACATACCTTGTATGAATTATCTAAATCCTCAAAGAGTCGTAGGAAAGCAGGAAAAAGAAACAGTTGTTCAAAAGCCTCAAAAGGGCTAATCAATGAGTATTTTCATTTTCTACACATAAAAATGTATACATGGCATAACTGTAAATAGCTTACCCCCCATATATATACACACACACAAATGCATTTTATTCATACTGTTAATATTTAAATAAATCACAAAACAACTAATTGAAAACTGCATCTTTCCATGACTGTTCTGTTTTACATATATTAATATTGAATCAAATACTCCCCAGTAGCAGATTTGGTACTTGGGAAAGGCCAGCCTCACTATGAAAATCTAGTCGGTGTCTTACTCAGGCATAGACTGGCACCTGAGCAGCTTCAAAGGTTTAATTCTATTGTTTAAGCACCTAATTTTATATCTGGTAATGACAAACCCTGGGGAATGTCAATTATGTTTTGTAGGCTCCATTTGTACATTTATTAGTGTATTTATTTGCACAGGCTGAGGAAAGCCCTATTTTTTTTTTAGGGAAATACCCCTAGATTTCAAAACAGTGTATAATCACTAGAAGTGGAAAATGATTGTAGGCATTCTCTTGAGATCGGCAAAACAATGATTAGCAACACTAAAGAGAAGTCAGAATAAATTTTTTTTTAAAAAAACTACAGATGATGTTGGTAGGATAATAGAATGTGAACAATCAGTTCCTTAAGTGGACTCAAATAAGTTACTATTATTGATAACAGGTAATACTGTGTGGACTAGATAACGAGGTGAGAGACATTAGCCAGCACACGTCAACACTGGACAACATTTGTCCATTTACCACAATTCCAATTGGCGAACTGGTGTTGTTTGAGTTTCATTTTTTTCTAAAAGGAAATACTCTACTAGAGATCAAAAAGTCTGATCTGGTTCCAAATATCTAATAAAATTTGACCCTGATTCCCTGACACTAAAAATTATGTTGGCTGAGTATTAGGTTGAAGATAGAAATGGAAATACGAGAGTTCCCGTTAATAGAGAATTGTGTGTGGCAAAATGCAAATATAACCACTTCTCAGTAGAAAATTAATAATATTTAATACAAATTTATGTTTTAGAGAATGAATGTGCTATCTTTATATCTTAGATAAAAATAAAAGGTTAACCAATAATAATACTACAATTATAACCATAGCTGACTGTTTTTTAACTGCTAAAAACATACTTGTTTATAAGAGCAGGATACCTGAAATCTTGATGTTTGTCAATATTTACTATTGCTTACAAGATAGATTCATGTGAGTATTTTGGAAGATGTGTATTAATTTAAATGCCACCCAGAAAAACTATAGCTGTCAATGTGAAAATCATTTATGTGTGTAAATGTTCAGCTGAGAAAGACTGAAAGTATAGTGTAATGTTAAATCGCTGAAGAAACAGTAATATTCAAAATGAATTCCATTTATGAATGTATCAATATTAGAATCTAAACGTATGTCTTTTCATGATGTCTATATATGAAAGTCATAAAATGGTTTATTCAAGAAAGCCCCCATCCTCCAGAAATCGGCCTATGAATAAAATTTCATTTCCTAGAAAAAATATGGAATGTTAAGATTTATATAAGGATATATATCAGAATTTTTGAATTATATACACTTCCGCTCTCATTTTCGATTTGATTTTTGAATGAAGGAAGGAAATTCAACAGATGACTTAGTTTCACCCTCAAAAAAATTTAAGTATGATTTTTTGCATTTCATTTTCCCCAATAAACATAATATAGATTAAAATTTACTGCCTTTGTTTTTTGTTGTTGCTCTTGCCACTGCTGTCAAAAATGTTCGTTTAGCTCTAGATGTGGATTTTCTTCTTTAAAAAAAAAAGATTTTATTTATTCGCGTGAGAGAGAGAACAAGCAGGGGGAACAGCAGAGGGAGAGGGAGAAGCAGGCTCCCCGCTGAGCGGGAAGCCGAGGGTGGGGCTCGATCCCAGGATCGCGGGATCATGACCACAGCCGAAGGTAGAGGCTTAACCGACTGAGCCACCCAGGATCCCCTAGAATCAATTGATTTTCAACGTGACACACGTCCGCTAGAAAGCTGCACTAGAGCTGAAAGTATTTACAGTGAAAGGCTTTTTCCCCCCTTTAACTGAAATGGAAGCCCCGTAGAACCAACACCTGCGGGTCATCAGAAGCAGTGCTTTTTCCTGCTCTTGACT